CCACCAAGAGTTGGTTTTGCGACTTTGTTGGACCATCCTTATTGGACAGGATTTTTTATAAGCATAGCTTATTTTATTTTGGATAGATACCGTACCTATACCTTTCCAATTCTGTATTAGTTCGTGGAGTTGAAGCCTTTTCATTCCGCAGAGCATCTTCTAAGAGTCAGTTGTAGAGTTTTACATCCGTCCTCCTAGGGTCGCGCGATTTGATAAGGCTTTTTTCCCTTTTGAATAGTAATGTGTTTATATAAATAGTAAATAAAAGCGGCCCCAACACTGTTCCTTGCGGCACTCCGTAAGTCACAGTTCTGCTCATGCTGATTTTACAATCTATAGTTACCTTTTGCTGTCGGTCACTTCAGTAGCTCTCTAACAATTTGAAGACCACACCTCTGATGCCGTAATTTTTTAGTTTATGTAACGGTATTTTGTGGTTTACAGTATCAAAACAGACAGACAGCAAAATGTACGATGGCCTGAATTATGGGTTTTAATAAAAATGAAGTAACATGATATCCTAAAAAATCTTTATGAACTCAGGCAATACTCTCCAAGTTTAATAGATAACATGGATGAATTGGGTTTATCAAACGTGTCTAATAAGTTACCCAAGACATTAGCGAGCAAGGGAAAGAAACTTGTAGGGAAGGCAGCTAGTGCAGATCGTGGACACATTGTAACGGTGAACTCCACAGGTAACTATATTCCTCCAGCACTCATATTCCCCAGAAAAAGAATGAAGGAAGAGCTGTTTTTAAATGCACCATGTAAAACTCTGAAATTAATTTCTGACTCTGGATGTATCAACACGTAACCACTTGTAAGTGGTTAATAATTTTAATAAATTTAACAAACCGAGTGCTGAAAACAAAGTTCTTTTAATTCTCGACAATCACAGCTCTCATCGTGACCTGCAAGCTATAAAATATTGCCGAGAGAATCACATTGATCTTTTATCTCTACCGCCTCATTTAAGACATAAACTACAGCCACTGGATATTGGTTTTTTTGGTTCTTTAAAAAAAACTACACTAGGGAAGTGACAAGTGGATGGTAAGTAATCCAGGTAAAGTAATTACATAATTTCCGGTTGCTGGATTATTTAGTACTGTTTATTTTTCTGTAGCAAATATTCAGAAGGCCGAAAATTCTTTTAAAGCATCGGGAATATATCCGTTTAACCCTGATTAGTTTCACATGGATTTTGCCCCCTCCTATGTTACCGACGTACCTTTGGACAATCTAGTAAGCGCGGTAGTAGATAATACTTCAAATGGAGTCCGAGTAGAACAAAATAATGGACTTCAGCTTCCAATACCATCTGAAGTAATACCTCCTTCAAAGCAGCCTGAGAATAAAGATGATCTAATCTGTTTTTATATTACGCCGCCTCTCGATGTGGCTAATCTTGATATCGAATGCGAAGATGGTGCATTAATACCATCACAAGCTAGCACTAATAGCTTAAATGTGTCAGCGGCAGAGATTTTACCATTACCCAAAATTAAAGAAAAGCCTAATCGACGCAAAACAAAATCTCAAAAGTCCGAAATACTTTCCAGTAGCCCATATACAAAAGGACTTGGGAATTTGCAAAAAAAGCAAAGAAGTAGAACAAAGAAAGAAGACGGAAGAAATACAAAGAAAATTAGTGCCTAGTTGTAGTAAATCATTGCGCAAAGTTCAAAAAGGAAATAAAAATGATCCTGATGTAACGTGCCCAGGATGTAATGAATTATATTCAAATTCTGTTGAAGACTGGATCATGTGCTTTCAACACAAGAATTGGTGGCACGAATCTTATACGACTTACCAACAGGAGACTTCATGTGTTTTAACTGTGAGGAGTAGCAATGGATTTAAAGATGAAATAGAAATGAGTTCTAAAACGTACCTTTCATATCTCTTTTTTTATGTATTTGTGTTGCGTTTATTTTAGAAATAAAGTTTGATTTTTGGAATGTCTTAATATTTTTGTACACTTCAGTAATGTGCGTATAATACTCTTAAACATATAGATGCGTACTCTTATGCAAATTTGTGTATAAGAGTACTCATTAGCAGCTTCGCAAACAAATTAAATATTTCTTATTTGAATACAGACGTTGTTTAAAACTATTCTAAGACATATCTTTAAATGGTTGATTAACAATGTGGGAAATGATAAATAGTCCATTTTCGTAAAAATTAAAAAAATGTCGCGTTTTAAATAAGTCCGTACTCTTATACGCATTTATCCTAAGCCTATAATATATCTCAGGGTCTCTTTTTGCTTATTTTCCAGTACTAATACCACAGTATAAAGAGGTTTTACAGTAAAACCACTCCTCTGTCGGCGCTTTGATCTTAGGAAGTAATACCGGCAAAGTACGAAATTGGTAATTCACCAAAGGTGGATGCGGGCGGAGGCCGCAGCTCCTTTGGTTAACCTTAACAGAGCCGTATTAAAACTTTCTGAGCCTACTACTATTATTTATTAAAATAAAAAATGCGGCGTCCCATATTTAACTGTCCGGATGTTCTTACATGTCTCGGGTCTCGGGAAAAAGAAATGTGGGACGTAGGAGGATTTCCTGGTTGCGAAATTTAAGGGAGTGGTAAGGGTGCAGTTCAATACAGTTGTTCAGAGCTGCAGCCAACAAAGTAAATATTGCTGTGATGGTAGCCAACCTCCGATAGGAGACGGTACTGCAAGAAGAAGAATGTTCTTACTAAATGTTAATATTACAAAAACAAAGAGTTTAATAAATGAAAAACAATATTACAATTCAATGTTTATATTTTTCAACGGTATTTAAAATATCAACGGTATTGCGTTTTAAATCTCAATGGTTTTTAATATATTGTACACGTCCTATAAACGTCAAATGAAAAGGAGGTTAATTTTGAAGCTCTCACGGCATTACTATACTCTGTTAAACCAGGAGGAGGAATTCAAATTTACCGCGTCATAACGCTTGTTTGTAATTCGTCCAACGGCAGGCAAGTTTAGTCCACTGTTATGAAATTTTGACATTATTGACATTTATGAAATTTTGTCACTATTTACATTTCGTAGGTTAATTTGGTTATATCGGCGATTTTTGTGTTTTCTGCATTATTCGTTTAGTTTCAGTCATGATACTATGAATAACAAGATAGCCTTCCCGTAGCCCAAAATCGGTCGTGTTCGCGCATGCAGTCATTGGAGAGTAGAATTTGAATTCTTGTTAAAGTTAAATGGGATTTGTATGCATTCTGTGATAAATTACTGGACGAAAATAAGTTAAGAAGTTCAATAATTACAAACATAAGGATATCTCCAAACTATTAAAGATTATTTATTGACACATACAAAAAACTGACATTTCGAACGTGCAACTCTCCAATGACGTCACGACTTGTGCGCAATATCTTATCTTCTTATCATAGTATCATGGTTTCAGTTGTAGTCTGCAAAAAGTTAATTAAATTTTGCAATAGTCTTTTCGTCAAATCAATCGCGTAATGTGCAAGAGTACATCAAATAAAATTCAAACTGCTGAAAAGGTAACCATTTATTTTATATATTATGTATTAAGTTTTACATGGTTTTATAGTTTTTAGTTTGGTTTTAACCAAATCTTAAAATCACCGTAAATGAATGGAAAAAGTTTTTTAATAGTCTCGAGAAGCTTTTTATATTTTATGGTGATTTTTAGCCACAAATTTAAATAAAAAATAATTCTCTTGTCTTTCTTATTTTTAACAGTTTCAACACTTTTTTAATGAATTAAACGAATATCAACTATTCTAATTGGGAAATAAGTCACAATTTAACTTGAAAAAATAATTTTATTAACGTTTCGACTTCCAATTCAGACTTCGTTGTCAAAATACAAAAATAAATTAATATTCTGTATTTTGACAACGACGTCCGAATTGGAAGTCGAAACGGTAATAAAATGATTTTTTCAAGCTAAATTGTGGCCCGGTAAAGGACGTGAGGAGTCAGATCAACAAAGCATCTCCATTCTCAAGATGTCTGCTGGAGATAGTCTAGTCAAATCCATTTTTAAACCATAAGTACATACAGTGATCAAAGGAGAATGAGTTGATGCGTGTTTAAGAAAATTATGCCCAGTGTTATCCATTACAAAATATTACCACTTTCAGTGCCATTTAGGTTGTATGGATTAGAAATCAGTCTTAAGAATAAGAAAAATACTTCGCCAGGAATAGGAATAAATGTACGTTATATTATGTTGGCAAATTTATATCAAAATAGAAAAAAAAAACACTATTAAATTTTTTTGAATCAAATATGGATCAGAAGATATTTCAGATAGTTGGAGAGAGTACCGGGTGATTCCTATTCTCCCCCTAAAAAAAATGAGAAACTTGGACAATATATGGCAAAATATCTCTTGAAATAAGTATAGAGCTGCAGAAGAATTTATTATATTATATTATAGAAGTTATTATCAAAAAAATATATTATAAAACTAAATTATGTTATATTATATTATTAACACCGGCTAATACCACTTCGAATTTCCAAATATTTGAATAATTATGACTTTCCGAAATACCACTTCATGTTCAACTTCACAATACTAACAATTATTCACAAAACTAACTCAGTTTAAGCAAAATACGGCACTGTTAACCCGTACGTTTCTACGCGACTAGCAATGGAAGAATGGTTCTCGAGCGACTAAGAAATAAGCGCAGTCGCCCTGCGCGTTGACAGATTTTACTTCCAATTTTTCGGAGAGTGGTTCTACTGTGGAATCTCTTTATGCTGTGCTAATAGTAATAGGATCAAATATGGCACATATTGTATACCATTTCCTTCTGATGAAGACTCAACCTTTGTCGACATATTTAAACACTGAATTTGATCTTTGTTTGTTTATTCAAAATGCAAACTACAATACTGTTTGATTGTCCGAACATTTGGTTATAAGAACTCTACATCGAAAATGTAAATAGTACTCAAAGTCACTTAAAAGAAAAAATACAAAACTTAAAAAAATATAATTTAATATTTTATTTAAATTATATATAAAGGTGCAGTAAAAAATTTACTAAATTATTTCTATATACACAAAAAACGTAATTAACTGCAGTAAAGACACTAAATACGAAGTCTAAAAACTAATCTAAACGTATTTTGACAGTTCAAATACATTTTACAAATTTCATCTTAAATTTTCATTCATAGTACTTCAAAATTGCAATCGCAGCCACCTTTTCTCATTGGAAAAAATCTTTTTTGCAATATCGCCATATTTTACTGGCATTTATAATGCCAGTGGAAAGTAAGAGACAATACAGTGATATCGTTTTGAAAAATTGTGTAAATATATCAGCAATTTTAGTTTTCAAATTGTAACCAAGTTCCATATTTTAAAAATAACTGTTACTAAATCCAAAGTTTCATGAGTCACCAAATCTATTCACGACTATTTTTAATCTATTTAATCAAAATGATCTCCAAAAATATTTCTTAATACTAGTCCACACTAAGAAAAAAAATGTACAAAAACGAAAATTATTTGAGATACAAAACATTCCTCAACAAAAATTACAATTTTATCTGATAATTTATTATCAAACATTCTTTCACACTTTGAAAATCAAAACTCTGTATCAAACATTCTTTCGCCCTTTAAAAATACAAACTTGGTATCAAACATTTCATCAGATTTTAAAGTTTCTAAACGTGTGTGATACCTATGTGTACTAAATATTACAGAGTGTAAAGAAGGCATTAGATGTCAATGTGTCTAAGAACATATCATGTGACTTGCATAACAAGATTCTATGGGGATACAGATCAAGTATGTTTGCGAATCTTGTCAGAATAAAAAATAAAAGTACTTTGACATGCTCTTTTTTGTGTTCACGCTCATTACAAAATCCTTGCTTACCCAAATAGGTAGGTACCTATCTACCTACCTATCTTAACTTAGTATTTAAGTGGTAAAATATCACTTTAAAAAATTATGGCCAATCACTAATATATATCGTGTCAATAACTGGAACAGTGTGACCAATAGCTGGTTCATTTGCACATTTACAAAAGAACACTGTAAAATATTTTCAGACATAAAAGATTAATATAATAAAATTGTGCAATATTCAAAAATAATAATAAAGTCATAGTAGACCACAATGTCAATACTTTCATAGATATATTGATGTGTTCTGCTTAAGAGGCCTATTATATCTGATGCTTTTATCTTCTGAATAATGTGTCATCATTGGAGTTAGTTTTTTTGAGCCTCTTGTGTTTCCCATATTTAAAATCTGTTTGGACATATTTGGTTTTGTCAGTACATTCTCAGAGAATTTTCAAAGTATAAAGAAGTACTTAACTCGGAATCAACAAAAAGTGGAGTTAGCTTATTTTGGCAGTAAGCCAACAATATACAGTGTGAGAAATGAAAATTGTATATGGTATAAACGATATAACTATACAGACCCTATAAGGAAACCTGGAAACCTCACCAGAATATTTGTTCCAAAACCCAGTAGAAAGTAGAACTCGAGGAAGAGCTAGACTAACATATCTCGACGATGTGGAAAAGGATCTCAAAACAATTGGCAGAAAAAGGAGAAGAAAGGAATTTGATAGACACAAATGGAAGGATGTGCTGAAGCAGGCTACGGCCTACGAAGTACTGTAGAGCCACAATGTACCAAAATATTGTTCATTTTGAAAACAAAAATTACCAAAAATTCAGCTTTAAATAATTGGATCTCATATCTAAGGCATCTTATACTTACAAAGAAGCACTAACTTTCTTATTTTCTTACAGATTATATTCCAACAAATTTTAATAATATACTTGTTTTTCCAATGAAAAATATTGCAAAATATTTTCCCCAATTTTTAAAAAGATATACAAATATTTTACATGTAAAACTTGGAACAACAGACTACAATCTAATCTCACTTGAAGAAAAATTAACATTAGTTCCTGGACATTTTTGAAGTTTTTTACTTTTATGTATCTTCCATGGCAGGCAGCCAGAACGCCATGTTTGTACAAGCAGAAGCCAACATCATGTACTTTGGATTGAATTGCACACATTGAACTGGGCCTGGATGGTCAGCATTCAACACACAAACCTAAGTGATTAAAAATAGTTTGTTAAAATGATAAAACAATAAACATGTTTGTATAAATGTCAATATTACTACTTTTGTAGTAGGTGTAAGATTTATAGAAAACATATTACTTTCAGCCAATCTTCTGCTTTTGTAAATTTGTATAAAGATTGTTAGAAAATAATTAACTCTGAATTTAATTTTTGTTTTAACATCCCAATATATTTACAATCTGTAATACAATAAGTCAATTATCTTACAATATTTAACGATATAAATATTATTAAAGAAAAAATGTCTTGAATAAAATTGTCCATTGACAATTAATTACCTAACTACCTAAACCTTTACAAACATTTCTAGTTTGTGTGTATTTGTCCCATAAGAAGTTGAAAATATTCGTTCTTTTAATTGTTTGAAGAATAAATACGGACTTTTGGTTATGAACATACATTCTGTGCGATTGGTATTATTTGTTGTTCGTGAATTTGTGAGGTAAGAATATCTAAGTATTAAGGTATTTACTATGAATGTTCAAATTTTAAGGTTATGTTATTGTTTGATTAAAAGTTTAATTATTTTTACTGTATTTCAAAACAAATCAATAAATCATTGAATTTATTTACGAAGTTGAAAATATTTAAATTAACGTTTTATTCTTTTTTGTTGTCAGATATTTTATCCTGTAAAAGACTATAAGGATATTCATTTTCTCATAGTTTAAGGGGGTATGCTCACGCCACAGTTAAAATGAGTGGCATTCAAATAAACTAACGTTATCGATTCTTTAAGTAGATGGCAGCACGTTATTTTCCCGAAATTTAATTCTCTGAACAGCGACATTGTTGCCAACGAGGCCAAGTACTGGGACTAATAATATACGATCGGTAGAATCGGTAGAGTTCGCTCTCAATCGGTAGAGTTCGCTCTCAATCGGTAGTCTTCTTCAATTTAGGTTGAAATTAGCTATTATTTGAAGTTTCACAAATTCTAATTTTTTGATTGGATCATTTGATATATTTTTTTCATTTTAGGATCGTGTTGTGTTGTTGTTCATTTACCTTTGAAGTTAAGTTGCTGTTTCGATTTTGAGTGTTTTTTTGAGTATTATAAATATTTTAAATAGTGCATATCAGTCTTGTTTTCTAACTAAATAAAAAAATTAAATTTCAAGTACAAAAAATTACTTATAATAAAAATATACACCTGTAAACCTCATAATTTATTAACCCAGCAGCGGACACTAAGGACTGATCAGTTCTGTATTTTTCTTGGCAACAAGGCTATTGAATTTATATTTATTTTTAGCCGGTAAAATAAAACCTTCCATTGCTAAATCACTTTTTTTTAATTTGCTTATTAGCCCACTCAATCATGTTTCTAAAGTAGTAAATTCTGCAGCACAGAATAATAAACAATCAGAAGGGCCACTCTCAGATGCCGCCTTTGAAGTTTTTCAGCACGCGCGCCATGTTTTAGGAGGACACAGACATATGATTTGTGTGGTTATGTAATTGTTTATATTTATGTTTAATTATATTATATTTATGTTATTATATTTAACAATGTTAATATAATTGTATAGTATGTCTATGATTGCTGTAAGTCAAATAAACCTGGTTAATTTTTCCATGCACACCACATAAACAACACTAATTTCTTTAAAATCCTCCTAAAACATGGCGGAACGTCTGCGCGGAGGAGATGCGCGTACTTAATTTTCCGTGGAGAGTGGGTATTCTGTTTGTTTATTATTCTGTGTCTGCAGTTTCTCCGCTATTTTCCATGGATACGGAAACATAAGATGCCATAGTCGAATCATATCTTCTGGCAAACATGACTCAATAAGAGGATGCAATATCGCCGCAAACTTGTCAGTGGTTTTGTCTAAGGTCTCAAGTGAACGAAGTTGACTCTCAATCATATCATAAAGAGCAGAATTATCACAAGGACTACTAGAAACTTGATTAAAAATAAACTTTATGAGCTCTCTAATATAAACGTCGATCTGGAGATCCTCTCTGCCAAACCTAGACTGCAAACTCTGAATAATGTTTGAACTCAATTGAAGGTCATTTAAATTTGCGCTTACCTTTACACTTGATGACTGAACTTAATGAACCTGTTCTGTTATCATACTTGTACTTAAGTTCAAAGTACCTTGCACTGTATTTATCCTTTGTTTCCATTTCACTGATTAACTCTTTTTCGGAAGCTTCTTTGAATATACTTTCGAGTACCGCACTTTCCATTTCACAAAACTCATTGTACTTTACTTAAAATTCTATTGATAATTTAACATTTTTTCTTTCACATTATCCGTTTCTATCTTATCGTATCTTTGGTAATTTTACCCATCTATCTTTTTGTTTATTTCTGTATCTTTTCTAATATATCTTATCTTGTTCTATCTTCACTTATTTCGTCCGTTGGACACATTCTCGGTTCCAAAAGCTAGTTTCGAACCAACGACTTGCTCTCCACCAACCACCTGGCTGCCGTCCGCAGTGTTTCCATTGGTGACCTTTCTAGCACCACCCAAAAAAGGTTTCCGAGGTTACAACCATGAAAACGACAATGGGAGTATGCGCGTAGCAAACATTGTTTTTGTCGTCACTGCTTTCGCCTTGGTGTCGCCTTCGTGCCGCCATCGCCTTCGTATCGCTTTGACTGTCTTAGCCTTATTATCAAATAATCCTCTTCTCCTAAAATCCATTGCAAAATTATCGAGGATCTTGAAAACTATCAATCACATGGAAAAGTATCGAAAGAATCCAGTATATTAAGGTTATCACATAGGCACGCGTATGTGTCCGCTATCAGTTACGATATCCTCGAACTCAAGTTATCAAAGTGCGTTATGTATAGAACATCCCAGAGGTACTTTTCAGTGCGTCACAGTTTTTAGATTTCTTTCTAATGCATTAAGTTGGATGTGACGGAGAAAGCGCTAGTTCCGTGATTAAACAGAACTATATTGCAGCGTTAGAATAAGCTTACATACATAAGCGGTTCTTTCCTAACCTACGTTTGATTCGTTGATATTTAGATGCGCGCTTTCTCTAAACAATCAAATACGCCTATTACTGATAGTTGACGTAAAACTTCGTCCATGCTGGCCATTCTTTCGAAGTGTTCCAACAGCAAGTGACGGCTGTCGTTCAGGTCAGTATTTGCAAAGAATATAGACGCTATATAATATATTTATATTCTTTGGTATTTGTTTTGTATAATTTTATTTTGTATTTTGTTTTACATAGTATTGTGATTGTGGTTTTATTTGTATTTGTACAAGATGGCAAGATATACGGAAAAAGGACAAGTTCTAATATTAAAATTGCATTAATATTTTCAATTGGAAAATATAAATATTTCACCATGGAGTTGTCTAAGAAAATATCTTTATAGATACATCCCCACTGGCAGTATTTTTCTATAATTTTTTTTGCTAAAAGTCTAATTTTGTACATACAAACTGTAGAATCGCCTATTTTGACATTATGCGCTAGATGAACAAACTTTGTTATTTATAAATACTTGTTTCTGCTCAAAACGTTGTAAACACAGGAAACTCCTAGGTCCTCATCCAATGACCTAATCTAATTTCATTTCTATATGGTTCAAGCCTATATTTCAAAAGATCAATTACTACTTTAGCTCCAAGTGGTATTTTTTTATTATCTTCAATATCATTCGTTTTTTTTTCGCAACAAACGTGAAAACCATAATCATATCCAGTGGAACCAGTTATCATCCAATTCTTATATCCAAATCTGACGGGCTCCTCTCTAATTAATGTTTTGCTAGGTTATGAACGAAATATTTCACCATGAATTTGTCTAAGGATATATCTTTAAGGAAACTCTCCACTGGCAGTATTTTTCTATAATTTTCTATTACACTGATATTCAAATTCTACTTTTCAGTGTTTTCAATAAACTATTATTATTACACATTAGTGAATAAATAGTTTTTATGATTAGAATTATATTTTATTTATGTAATTAATTTAGAAGTTACCTAATGAATTTTTGAAAACAGTCTTTTTTGTGTTACTTATACTATGGCCAAAAAGCAGTAGTGAGAATAGAAGAAATAGAAGTAAAAAGAGTTGTTCGACAAGGGTGTATATATACACCAGTATTATTTAATATGTATACTCGGAAGACATATTAAGTAAGGCAATGGATTAAAAAAAACGTAAACATTCGAATTAATGGCATGATCATAAATAACCTGAGATACGCTGATGATACAGTTCTTTTAGCCGAATCACATGAAGACCTACAGATACTTCTTAATTAGGTGACTGCAGTAAGCGAAGAAAAATATGGACCATCACTCAACAGAGCAAGAAATATGTGATAACAACAAAGACAACTCAGGACATTAGTGAGATATATGTACAGAATCAGCCTATTGAAATAGTAAGAGAATTCAATTACCTAGATACAACTATTAATGAAAACAATGACAGCTCTCAAGACATACGAATCAGAATCAAACAGGCCAGAAGCGCATTTACAAGAATACAACGGCTTCTCTGATGTAGAAACTTAAACCTTAAATTACAAATACGACTGCTGAGGTGCTACGTGCTACCCGTATTACAGTATGGGATGGAAGCTGAAGAAAATTCACGTGAGGAGACTGAAGGCATTCGAGATGTGGATGTACCGAAGAGTACTAGAGATCTCATGGGTAGATGGAATAACCAACGTTGAGGTAACGTGACGTATGCATAATGAAAGAGAAGTACTAACAATTAAGAGGAGAAAAGTGGAATATATGGGTCATGTGATGAAAGGAGATAAATATCTAATACTCCAGGACATTATGGAAGGAAAAATCCGGAGAAAAAGATCCATAGGAAGGAAACGTAACCCATGTAATAACGACTTATTTAGAGCCGCTGTCTCAAAATTAAAAATCGCTGTGATGATTGCCAACTTTCGACGCGTAGACAACCCCTTGAGAAGAAGAAGATACAAAAATTCAATAAATGAATCATTTTGTCGTCA